AAGCCAATTAAGATAAAATCAGATAAGTCAGTTCAAATAAAGTCAAATAAGCCAGTTCATATAAAAGCAGATAAGCAGTTCAAAATATTTCCAGGAACTCTAGAAGGCCTTTAGACAATAATTTTCAGATTAACTTGTAAATCTTCTAAATCGAGATTAAATGCTTTAATAAATTCAGCAAGCGAACCTAGTAATATAGGATAATAATTACATTTAAGATTTTCAGTTGAGCTAAGTACTTAGAATATTTTTCAAAAATATTGTAGCTTAAGGAGAGTCGAGCCTCCGACAGCTACCTTTCATCTCGCACTTGCCTAACAGATATATATCAGGTGTGGGTCACGTACTGGGTACCACATCATCTTTAATTTTTGTACCATGTCTGAGGTATGTATAAGAAAAATTATTTCGCCAAGGTGGCGGCCGAGCTGGGCCTTAATGTGCCATCCTGTGCCTAGTTATATTACTTACGGGTGGGGGCCGAGCTGGGCCTTAATGTCCCATCCTAGGTTTTGGTGGAGGCCGAGCTTGGCCTTAATGTCCCATCAGAGTGTGCACACAACTTTTAGTTCAGATGAGGTCAGTTTCAGTTACTTATATGCTTACGTCATGATATCGTTATTAATGATGTTGTTTTATTCAATACCGATTTTTGCGGAGCATAGTGGTTTTGCTCACGCCACCACTAACTTTCTTTTTAGGTCACGCAATCTAGCGTGACGCGTGAGCACTCATAGTGGTCGTAGTCATAGCAGTGGACATTTTTTCACGCATTTCATATCATGTATATTGAACATGTAATTATACTTAAGCGTGTTTATTATGTTTTTAGCTTCCGCATTTCAGAACCAGTATGAGACTATGAGTATTTCAGACTTATGCATGCGTAATACCTTTATCTCCATGGTACATTTATTAAATGAATTCGATTAGGTGGCATGTATTATAATTATTTGTCTGACGAAATAAGAATAGTAAGTAAAGAGCTCTAGCAGAACCCCGCGAGACAGTTATAGTATTTTCGAATTCGATTAGGTTCCAGTGAGAATGACGCTTAGTGAAAGAAATAAGAATGAATCTTAGCCATAAAATTTAATCATCCAACGGTAAAAATCAACCCAACTATTTACAGTGATCATTAAGGGTATAAGAGACATTTTATCCTTCACATATGTTATGTGGGCTCTACTCCATTTACGATATGTCTTTCACGCACGCACACCACATACTCTGTACACATACACTATTCACACATACACACACATCGTACTGTCTCTCTCACACACACTTTACACACACTACTCGCACACTGTAAACACACACGACCCGTCACAGCTTCGTCGCCACTGCCAGAACGCCGGCGCCACCTCCTTCCACCGCCGCTGCACATCCCCTCACATCTGTCGCTGCCGTCACACAATATTGGTCACGCACAGAAGGCACGCACAAACACACACACACACACACACACATACACACAAAACAAACCTCACACATACCCCGTCAGTTTGCTGCCCGCCACCGCCGATTGCGCCATTCACCGCACGCCACCTCCGTCTTCCTTACGTTCATCGCCAATTTTCCAACACCAGCACACAAATTTTCCAGAGGCAGCAGATGGGTAAGAAGGCAGCGACATCGCTGGAATCTATCCCGCCACCTGCCAGTTCCGCCTCTGCCGCTTCCATCTCAGAGAATTCCACCTCCGCAAGAGCAAACCACTGGAACCGGCCTCCGCCGCCCGAGATTGTCGAGCCATTCCAGTCGAGCCTAACAAGAAATCATCTCCATTGACATAGATCTAAGAAAAATGCAGAAAAATGAATAACAAAGTTTTTGGCTGTTGCGCATAAAACTCACGTACACAATTCTCAATCAATGTTTACATGAGCTGGGAATAAACCTATATACACACATCAAGGGCAGATAAACTAGCCAGTGTCCATCTTATACAAATGATCCTACGGTTGTTACAGCTCCAAACTAAGAGTGTGGCCAGCTTTAGGAAAAGCAGTTTTGTCTTCATTGCATATCCATGCTGGCTCGTCATTTTGCATGAGTTGGAGGCTGCTCTTCGTTGACCAAGTCATGTTATGATTTTTCTCAATATTGCTAGCACTCCCCCTCAATCCAATCGAGTCTTTACTTACAATTCCCAAATTATCCTTGAGACGAGAGAAGGATTGCAATGAAAGAGGCTTGGTAAAAATATCACTCGCCTGTTCAGCTGATTGAATGTAACAAACTAAGAGACTTCCCTTCTGCACCTTTTCTCTAACAAAATGGTAAGCAGGCTCCACATGTTTTGTCCTTCCATTCATGACTGCATTAGATGCTGGAAACATTGCACTTTATTTATCTACCCAAATTACTAGAGTTTTCATTATCTCAACTCCAAGTTCTGTTATCAGAGATTGAATCCAGGTTAGCTCTGAGGCAACATGAGACAAACTTTTATATTCGGCCTCAGTGCATGACCTAGAAACAGAAGTTTGCTTTTTAGAGCACCATGATACCAAACATTCTCCAAGAAAAACACAGTATCCTGTTGTAAATCTTCTATCATCTAAATCTGCCCCCCAATCAGAATCTGAGAAGACCTTTAAGTCAAGATGAGCTGATTTCTTAAGGTATAAGCCATGATCTGCAGTGTCTTCTAGGTATCTTAAAATTCTTTACAGCTTTCCAATGAGCATCTAAAGGATTAGACATGTATTGGCTTACCTTATTTACAACAAAGCTCACTTCAGGTCTTATTAAGGTAATGTACTGCAAAGCTCCTACCACACTTCTATATAAGGTGTGGTCTACTGTTGGCTCACCATCTTCCTTTGATAACTGCAGTGAAGACACCATAGATGTAGGGACTCCTCTAGCTTCTTCCATGTTAACTCTTCTCAACAAATCAATCACATATTTTCCTTGATTAAGATGAAGTCCATCTGTACTCTTGTTTATCTGAATCCCAAGGAAATGCTCAACTTCTCCAAGATCTTTGACTGCAAACTTCCTTCCAAAATACTTGACAAAGCCATCTATGTCATCCTTATGATTTCCAGTTATTAGGATATCATCCACACATATGAGGACAAAAATAATTTCTTAAAGAAGAGAGAACTATCTTCCTTTGAGTCTTTAAATCCCATAAGCTTAAGAGCTTCTTGAACTTTGCTAAACCATGCTCTTGAGCCCTGCTTAAGCCTATATAGAGCCTTAGACAGTTTGCAAACAAGATCCCCACTTCCTCTTTTTTTTTCAAAACCTGGGGGCTGCTTCATGAAGATTGCCTCATTTAAGTCACCATTAAGGAAGGCATTACTCACATCCAGCTGTCTTATGCTCCAATCATGATATACCGCTAAGGTCAAGATGATTCTTATAGTGTTGTGCTTCACAACTGGGCTAAAGGTTTCTGTGAAGTCAAAACTTGGTCTTTGAGAATATCCTTGTGCCACAAGCCTTGCTTTATACTTGGAAATGCTTCTATTTGAATTTCTTTTAATTTTGAACACCCACTTGCATCCTACTATGATTCTGTCTTTTGGCGTTTTACCAAGCTCCAAGTTTTTTTTTTGTGTATGGCACAGAGCTCTTCTTCCATTGCCATCTTCTATTGCTTAGCTAAGAGAGCTTCATTCAATGAGGCAGGTTCAGATTCATGGCACTCTGTGAGATAGGCTTTGGGTTTGTATATTCCTTCTCCGGCCCTTGTGATCATAGGGTGCTTTCTTCTTGGCTTTTCTCCCTCTTGCTGGTTATTTGGCTTAGTTATGATAGGTAGCTCAACAAAGAGTGGTATACCTGGATGACTTATTCTTTCTGAGTTGGAGCTTCTTGTAGAAGATGAGTTGCTTCTTTGAGCTTGCATTCTTGTGTTACTGGTTGGATTTTGATTCTGGAATTCTGATTTGTTTGAACATTCCTCTCAATGATTGGGATTCTTGAAAAGCTGTGCACTTTCTCAAGACTGGCTCCAGTGTTGACAGTAGTTTCCTTCTCAGCATAAGGGAACCTTTTTTCATCAAATATTACATCTCTTGTGATAATCACTTTCCTATTTGGGAGAAGCACCTTGTAGCCCTTATATTGATTGCTATATCCCAAAAAAACTCTTGCACATGACCTGTAGTCCATCTTGTGTTTGTTATAGGGTCTAAGGTGTGGATAACATAGACATCCAAACACCATAAGCCCCTTGTAATCTGGTTTTTTTATTACAAAGAACCTCAAGAGGTATTTTGAAGTTTAAGGGCCTATTGGGAATCCTGTTGAGCAGAAAGGTTGTTGTAATAAAAGAATCTCCCCAATAACACAAAGGCAAATGAGAATGAGCTATGAGAGATAACCCCATGTTCACTATATTTCTATGCTTCCTCTCAGGGTGTGTAGGCACAAGAGATTCTATGCATGATGCTATTTTTTTGAAATACTTTAAACAAGGCATGGTACTCTCCTCCTCCATCACTCTGAAAGGCCTTAATTTTTGTGCCAAATTGATTTTCAACCAATGCTTTAAAACTTAAGAAGGCACTGTGAACATCTGATTTTGCCTTTAACAAATAAATCCAAGTGAATCTTGAATAATCATCTATAAAACTAACATAATAAGAATAGCCATTCAAAGATTTCACATGACAAGGCCCCCACACATCACGGTGTATTAACTCCAGAGAATAATAACATATATTCTGATAATGATCAAAAGGCAAAAAGTGGCTTTTAGCCATAATGCAAGATCCACAAATATTGTTTTCATCATCTGCTTTATAGTTTAGGTTACATAACCTTAAAGCTCTCTTAGAATTCTCATAATTGGCATGTCCTAGCCTTTGATGCCATAGTTCTAGGCTATAACATTTACTTAATTCATAAAAATAAGAAAAGGGTTGTGTCTTCAAAAGTTGTTGATTTTCTTCACTTGAAACTCTATGTTGGGCACTCTTCACACACTACAGATTAAATTGATACAACCCTTCTTTAGGAACCCCCTAGAGTAGGACCTCTTGAGTTTGTTGATCCTTAACAAAGCAGACATTTGGATGAAATTCAAAGAATACTTTATTGTCTCTTGCAAATTGTGAGACACTAAGAAGATTTCTGCTTATCATAGGCACATGTAAAAGATTTTTCAGAATGAAAACATTTGTTTGATCAGGAGCTTGAAAAAGAGAATTACCAAAGTGACTGATGATGGCACTTTCACCATTTCCCATTAGAAGTTTGCTTCCTCCATTGTTGTAATATCCCATTCAGTTATTAGTAGTAAGTATCAGTAATTTTTAAAGATTAAGTTATTCTGAGGTCAAAGAAGTTAAGAAAATGAAGTTTTCAAGCCACACGAGTCGTGTGGGTAGCCACACGAGTCGTGTGGTCTCACACGGGTCGTGTCACAAGTGACACGGGTCGTGTGGCTCAAGGCAATTTCCAAATTTAGCTTCGTTTTTTTCACACGAGTCGTGTGAGTTAGTGACACGAGCCGTGTGGACTCACACGAGTCGTGTGAGTCATGGACACGAGTCGTGTGACTAGTAAAATTTCAGATTTTCGAGTTTTTAGTTTTCGTACTAATTATAGTTCATTATAATCATTTTATTATGCATGATATTATAGTGAAGATTATGATATATTTGAGTTTTAAAGTGTTATTATATTATGCTTATAATTGATTTATGATTATGCTAAAAATTGATAATTAATATGATAAATTGTAGTAAATTCATGTATTATATGTCAATTATATATGTTGAGCTGATGTTTGTGTTGACTAATTATGTCTTAAGAGTTGATGAGAAGTTGATGAAAGTTAGATGAGAAATGGTTGGAAAGTAGATGAGAAATTGGTGAAAGTTGATGAGATGATGATGATGGCTAATGTTGATAGTCAAAATGATGATTTAAGATCAGATTTTTATTTTAAATTTGTTAATTCAAAAGTTTTGCCTATAAATAGAAGGCTTCAAGACTTGAAATTTTACACCAAAGTTATATTATCAAAGTTATATTGAGAGTTAAGTGAGGATTTTTGAGGGCAAAGCTTTTGGAGTAAAGGAGTTCAAAGTTCAAGTCTTGCAAATTTCAAGTTCATATCAAGTCTTTCTTTCAATTTTCTCAAGTCCTTGAAGGAGGTAATTCATTCTTGTATTTGAGATAAATACTAGTAAGCATGTTAATATGGTTTATGGAACTTATATTGATATGAGAATCAATTATGTGTTATGCCATGATTAGTATAAGTTATATTTTGATATCATGTATGAGATATGAGTTAATTTGTTAGCATGTTAGTAGTTATTCCATGTTATCAATAGAAATTCATATGAATTATCATGTTAATAAGTTGATAAAGTTTAAAGTTGATAGTTTAATATGATTCATATTAAGTGTAAGAGTATGAGTTTTTACATGATTAATATGTAAATGAGTTTTGATATTAATATATTGGCAAGCATGTAAATTAAGTTTTAGTTATAAATTGATTATTATGAGGAGCAAGTTTAAGAAATTATGAATCATGAGTTGATTTGAGTTTGTATGTGAATTTGAGTATTTTCACTTACAAGTCTTATAGGCATCATTTTTATTGATGAAACATGATTCATATGAGTTAAATAAGTAACTTGGATAAAGTCCATCAAGAAATTGATTTATTCAATGTATTATGTTATTCGAGCTATGGCATGTATATTATTTGGATGAGTTGTCAGTTGAGTTAGAATAGTCGAGCATAGTACTTAGTATATTTGTTTATATTTTTATGTAGCGAGAAGTTTGGCTACAAGCACAACACTTTCAGTTTTCAATCAGTTCAAGACGAAAGGTGGGAACCCAGCCTGGGTATTTCATTGAGTATAATAGCTAGATCATGTTCAAAGGTATGTATATGAGTTATCCGCTTTGGGTGGAGGCGCAGTAGCCTTAATATGCCATCCCGAGTTTTGGTGAAGGCCAGCCTTCATTAGATTGTGCACAAGGATACGGACAAAGTGTCCGAGATATTCAGTTCAGTTACCGACATAGAGTCGGGAGATTTTAGTTTAAGCTTATATATACCTATGATCATGATGTTGAAATTATTATCAATGATTGCTTTAGTATGAGTTTTTACGGAGTACAGTTGATTAGTACTCACGTCCCACTATTATCATTTTCAGGTAACAGGGTCGAGCCGAGGGTGTGAGCTGAGCTGTGGAGGTGTCGGTTGTATTTCAAGTTATGATTTCACTTATACCAATGGATTTTATATCAAGTTGTGAGTTTATTAAAGTGTGCTTGTGAAATTCAATAAGGCAACGGTTTGTAAATGCCACGCTTAAAGACTTCCGCTATGTATAGTAAGTTTGAACTGGTGTGATTTGAAGTTTGTTATTTAAGAAAGTTTTCTTGTTTATTTTATAAACGAGATAAGTTATCATACTAGTTTAACAAAGATGAGTTTTAGTAGCATCCCGAGTTAAGATAATTTCGAAAAAAATTTACTCTGATAAGCGGGGTGTTACAATTGTAATCTGAGGAAATGTTCAGGTTTTCAAGTTCATTGGTTACATGATTTGAAGCTCCTGAATCTGGATACCAGTTGGTCTCAGAACCCACATCAGAATAGGTGTTTCCACCAGGCATTTGCACCTTGTTCAAAGTAGGATTTCTTCTTGGTGTTTGTCGTCCTTGGCTTGTTCCTTGTTGATTAGGTTGACTGTCATACCTATACCAACACTTATCAGCTGTGTGGTTTAGGCCATGGCAGATTTGGCATTGAGGTCTATTGCCTTGATTTCTTTCTCTGCCCCTGCCCCTATAAGAGCCTCTTCCCCCTCTTCCACCTTGAGCTGTATTTCTATTTTCTTTGAACTGACTGAAGTTTGGGGTGAAGTTTCTTTGGGAGTGTTGAGTGACCACATTGGCATATGGTTGTGACCCTTCTGAGCTAACAACTGACCGTTGGTTCATCTCAAGTCTTAACTCATAAGTAAGCAACAAGGCATGAACTTCAGCAAGTGTGTGAAGGGGGAATCTTGAAGTGACATTTACCACTATTGAATCATATTCAGGCCCCAAACCAGTTAGAATATGAAGGATCTGATTTTGTTCTGAAACTTTTTCTCCTGCTATGGCCAGAACATCATAATGGTTCTTGATCCTATTGAGAAACTTTCTCGTGGACAAACCAGCTTTCTTCAAGGTTTGAAGTTTTAGTTTATACTGCATTATTCTAGCAGATGACTGGCTGGCAAAGTTGCTTTCAATAGCCTCCCATATTTCTTGAGCAGTGTTTAAACCAACCATCATGACTAAAATCCCTTCACTCAATGATGACATAAACCAGGAAGCTAAAAGCTGATATTGCCTAACCCAATAAAGATAATCAGGGTTGATTTAAGACTCACCATTTTCTGGATCTGAGATGAGCTTCCCTGGCTTCTTGCTTTCACCATTGATGTAGCCCACCACTCCATAGCCTCGTATGGCTGTTATGACCTGCTGCTTCCATATTAGGTAGTTGGTTTCATCTAGCTTTTTTGATATCAGCTGACTATTGGGTTGAACAAGAGAACCCATTGCCGCTGTACTTGGATTTGGAGCAGCCATGGAAGTAGAAGTAGAAGATGAAGCGGAGTGACTCATGGTGAAGAGAGAAGATAAAAATGGAACAAGAAAATAAAAAAATAAAGGATGATAATCAGAAGCAGGTCTAACCCGCTCTGATACCATAACAAGAAATCATCTCCATTGCCATAGATATAAGCAAAATGCAGAAAAATGAATAATAAAGTTTTTGGCTGTTGCGCATAAAACTTAAGTACCCAATTCTCAATCAATGTTTACATGAGCTGGGAATAAACCTATATACACACATCAAGGGCAAATAAACTAGACAAGTGTCCATCTTATACAAATAATCCTACGGTTGTTACAGCTCCAAACTAAGAGTGTGGCCAACTTTTGCAGCTTTAGGAAAAGCAGTTTTGTCTTCATTGAATGTCTATGTTGGCTCGTCATTTTGCATGAGTTGGAGGTTGCTCTTCTTTGACCAAGCCCTGTTATGCTTTTTCTCAATATTGCTAACAGAGCCACCGCCGAAGTTCCTGTCTATAGGAGATTCGCGATGCCACTCGCCGGTTTTACCCATCCTCCGACGGCCTCAAAATCGACTAACAGAGGATTAAAGCATATTGGAGACGATGGACCTGAGGAATATCGCAGGCGGAATTCAATTAGATAGGTTTCTATATAATATCACGCAGATCACGGACAGAATTCAATTTGGAGGTTGAGTGTTTTTTTTTTGGCTTTTTTTAAAAAAAAAAAAAAATTAGATAGGTTTGAGGGACTTAATCAAAATTTTAAAAATTTTAATGAAATTAAAATCTAGTTCATGGGTCAAATATGTAATTTAATAAAATTTTAATAATTGCACATTAATGTACAGTGCATTGCACCATATCGCATTCGGAATTGCACATTGAAAATATCGTTATACAAGTTGCACTTTATTGTTAGACAGATTGCACATTACTGCATATGATATTGAACTTTATCGCAATAGTACATTTTGCGAAATGACTAAAATACTCCCTCGTGAAGAAACAAAAATTCATTTATTTAAACATATTTATTTAAAATATTAAAATAATAAATAGTAAATTATTTAGATTAAGTCGATGTACAATTTTATCTGATAAATATAGTTTTAAAAACACATAATTTATACGTGATCGTATAAAGTAGTGAACTTTATAAATTAGCACGATGAACTTTATAAAACAAAACGTTGCACTGTATAAAACAAACGGTTGCACTTTATCGCCAGACTCCACAATTAATGTCAATAGCTCCGCCGAAATACCACACAACATAAAATGCAAGAACGATCTACATATTATTTTAAAATCTGTCACATCATCTGTCCACAAAAAAACACAAGCATTCTAATGTAACAAAATTACAGTATTTCACTTTATGTATTGCACATTACATTTTATAAAACATCACGTTGCACTTTATAAAACAACGCGTTGCATTCTATCACGACAATCTGATTGCGCCACATAGAGCAAAACCGACCAATTTTTTTTTTCTTTTTCAATTAGCGGTAATATAAAAGTAATAAATTAAATAATTAATATATTAAATATAATTTTCATATAAATAATAATAATAATAATATTTCAATTATTTAGGATAATTCGTTTAACTGAACTGTATAAACCAATTAATTAAGTTCAGTTTCAC